AAAGCAAAATGTTCAGGTCGTCAGTTATTGAAATGGGTGCAGGTTTGTTTATCAGGCGTAGGGCTTGCCTAAGACTCGCAGAAATGCGTGCTAAATTAGCACGCAGGCGACACGCAAGAATGAACTGTGTGAGCCATCCAACTACACCTATTTACTGTAACATTTGTACAGTACGATGGAATACGGTTTCTGCCAATAAAATGGGAGATAATTACAAAACAAAAGGTGATTCCTCCCCCTTCCACGCGAATGGTTGACCACGGATCGTAAGGCGCGAGGTGTCACTCTAATGTCTTGAACAATGCAATTTTTACTTAAAAGCCTTTATGAGAGTAGATCGCGTTTTTTAAAGCCGTCAGTGATGACAGATTTTTTGTTTTACGGCTTCGGTTTCATAATAAAGGTGAGAGTGGGTGGGTGTGTTAAATGAAAACGCGACTTTATGAAGTGAAAGGGAATAGTCAACTTACGTTAGTTTGACCCAGACACAGATGCGCGCAAGAAAGAGACTGGCCATTTGTGCTAGCTCCAATTCCAACTCCGGTCCTGATCGGTTCCAGTGTTGATCAATAAAGTCCTGAAGCAACTGTCGGCGTTTCTCCTTCGGTGAACGATCCCACTCACGCAGCAAGCAGGTCATATTGTACGTAGCGCTGTCCTGTTTTGCGGACGTCATGACGACAGTAGTGGTGACGTTGGAGGTTTTAAGGAGTCAGTGGCGGAAATGCAAGAGGATTGTCCTGCCAAGCCGTTTTACTTTACACGACCGTTACGATGACCTAAAATAATAATAACAGTCCGAGGTTCTCAGTGCATTCATTATATGTATCTAGCAGTCTGGTACTTATCGATTCCAGGTTAATATTTGCAGTCTATCAAGAAGAGCCCTAAGTCGTTTTTGCACCGTAGCTCGCGAGGAATAGAACACTGTCAGGTACGGATGAAAGCTAACACCAGCGGAACATACATGTTCTGGGCTAAGCACATGACTCCACAACCGTAGGTCAACTGTTTAACCGTCGGTCTTAATACAGACG